ACCCAAACATCAGTAGGTTGATAAAATTAACTATCTTCGTCCTATCTCTGGCATTCTTGATAATAAGAAAGTCACACCCTTGTTTATTTCTTCTGAAGCATATTTCATTAGCTTCTTGGCATTAGCTTTTGAGGCTTACCTCCCGTTCGCTCTCATTCGTTACCTGTGGCGGTGTGGTGGAATGTCCTCTCATGGTGAGGTGAGAGCAACCAAGCTTTCTGTCACGATCCAGCCCCGGTCCCCGCTGACTTTGTTTAGCCGAGAATTGTGTAAGACATTGAGATAGATCTTAGGGAGAATGAATTTGTTCTTTCCTGTGAAGCAATAGGGAATGGAAAGAGAGCTGAGAAGCTCCATATCAAAGATAATAACTCCCGGGGCCCTCATGATGGTCCAGTCAGTTGCCCAGTTGCGTCTGGCCTTTCCTTCATTGTGTTGCATCTGAAAATTTGCTCTCATCCCTGCATTTTGACTCTCCACTAACTCTGATTCTTTGCAGGTTTAGAATCTGACCTCTCTACCTTAATAGTGTGGCTCAGTAAAAACCGATCAATACAGCACCTGGCCTTAGGCAAAAATTTTAATAATATGAAATCCAAGTAAGAATTTTGCATTTTCCTATCTTCAATGATGAAAGTAACCCACTTCATGAAGGAATTTGATTTGATTCCATTGTCCATATCTTTCAAATCTCCTTAGAAATCTGACGCCTGTATTGGACAACTTAGTACAGATGATTCAGGATGAAGAATCAGTGAGTATTATTTTTAAACTTTTGACCTAAACTCTTTTACTAATGCTCTTTATTGGGATAATGCTGGTGTACTTTTAGATCATTTCATATGGGTATGCATATTCCATCGTTATTACTTTTTGTATAAAAGGGAATGTATGTCAATGTTTTAGTAAATTACAGGATGCATTTAAATTGTACTCATTTAAATTGTACTTATTTTTCACTTCACACAACTTATCCATTTAAACAAAAGGTGTACTTACTCTGAGGGGAAGTCAAAAAGTATTGTTACAAGGGTTCCAATTCACGATGCACTTTATTACTTAACCTGCAAATTTTTTTTAAAACATGAATTTATTCCTAAACCCATCTTTTCATGAACACACTATTTCTTAACTTCAGCTAATGCACTAATCCACAGGCATGAATTTTTACAATCTCGTTGACTTTACGACCTTATATCATGCTGAGAAACATCATTTTGCTAATTTGAATTTCATCTAGTTATTATGCAGCATTAAAAGAGCCTGAAAAAAATTATTCATCTTTAAATTTTGCCTTTAGCCGGAGTAATTCTTATATTTTTATCCCTTTTCTTTGCTCTTGACCAACATTTGATTCAGCGTAAAGCAATTTAGTTTCAAATAGTATCCTGTATTCCTGCTCTGGAAAATGCATTAAGAAAATAACAAGGTATTTAGTCAGAACAGTTTGTCCTTAATCCCTTTCATTTAGAACTTGAGTTTCCTACCTTATCGCCTACTGATGCTGTTTGACATTTTTGTCCCTTCCCTCTCTAAACCCTGTTGGATCGCCAAACTCAGCATTTATGGTCCCTAAAATGCTCACCAATGTATATTCCTGCTATGAAGAATAACATTGTTCATGTTTTGTTATAGCCAGTTTGTCTGGTCATGAGGGGGATTCCCTGTATTAATCATTGCATAATATCCTTGGCGGGAGCGGGGGGGCATAGTATTATTTCTCCTTTTGAACTCATGTCAGGTAATAGCAAATTCTATTACAACTGGCAGTTTACCTTTTGGGCAAGCTGTTTAAGGGACCCTGAGGGACAGGGACTTTTTCTCCCTCCTCCTCCCCCGCCCAAATCATTGTAAGTTTCTGAAGTGGAGGGCAAGGTCCCTGGGCAGCACAGTGGCTCTCGATGACTAGTTGAAAGATTGGTGGTTTTATCCCACCCAGTGGCACCAGGAAGAAAGGGCTGTTTCCATAAAGACTACAGCCCCAAACACTCTGTAGATCAGTACTACCATGCAGCACAGAGGCCACCATGAGTTGGTACTGACTCAGTGGCAATGGCTCTGTGTGTGTGTGTGTGTGTGTGTCTGTGTGTCTCTGTGTGTGTGGTTTAGAAATAAAGGGAAAGAGAAAGTTCTATTCTCCTGCCTCTTCATTGTGTGGCTACTAGAGTAATTTGCAATCTGTGAGTTAGAAAATGAAAGTTCTTATTATTTAATGAGCGCAGGCACGTCTCTTTATTCTCATTTGCTAATAAACCCTGTATTTTGTTACTCTTCTGCTGGGTTATTAAATGTAAGGGTATAATTAGCATCTTATTTGTACTTTTCAAAGTTGATGGGGTTTGTTTTACTTGTTAAATTTAACTTTACACCCATCTACTTTAATGGGTTCTCGGTTTCCCCAATGGTGGCCCAGATTTCTTGGAGGGGAGCTAGGGTTGCAGAACCGTCCTCAGCGTTCACCTCCACGTACTTCTTTCTTAGCACACGCTTTAGGGAATATCTTTTACTAATGTTTTACTTACTAAGTGATGATCTGCAAACTCTGTTTCTGGAACTTTAAAAGCTTCTGGCTTTGGAGATAATCTTGATATTTAAAACATATCAAAGGGAAGATAAAATGTGCCATGTAAATGTGATTTCTGCCGATTTCTGAGTTTTAGTGGCGTGCTGCTAATAATGCCGTACAGTGAAAGCTTTTTATGTTCATGTCATTGAAAAATAGGTGACTTTTTGAAAAGCAATTATCTATTTTTCCCCTTACACCTGAATCCAAAATGTGCAAAACAATCTATAATGATTAGTGGTTGAGGCTTGTGATGACAAAAATCCCACAAATGACTGGCACAATTAGACTCATTAAAAAAACACACACATATATACGGGTTTTAAAATATGTAATCTTTGGGAGGGTTTTACATTCTGATGTTGTGATTGTAGAGATATTTTCTTCACAGCCCAGGGAATTCTTCATTCGCTTGGTGTTACTTATTCCCTTGTGTGGAAAGTCTAGACACCCATAGACTCAATGTCCCTTTCGGCCTGGGACAGTGGTTGTCAGGGTGTTGTGCCCAGAGCTGGGGCACAGTAACATTGAGGGGCCGCCCATGGCAGAGAACATGAGTACAAGCACTGCATGCACGTCCGTGATGTGACCACAGGGCACAGTGTGTTTCCCGTGGTGGAATACTTGTAGGAAGGAGACAGATGCACTGAAGAAGCGGGTTCAGCCCTGAGAAGAAATCGTAAGATTTCTAATAGCAGTGTTACACGGGAGTGTAATAAACCAGGAAGGGTTGGCCTTATAAATATGTATGCAGTGCAGGCTGTTCGGCTGGCATTAATGACTCCGTCTATTATTTTTAAGTGTTAACTGGGGTGTATTAGAATTTGAATATAGTCCTGGAATAGTTGCTCATGAGCTTGTAGAGCTGGCAGCTATCCAGTATGCGGGAGAAAAAAGCTGCTGTACATCACTTTGATACTAGTTGAAGGGAGGTTACTGAAGTGATGAGAATGTGATTACAGCTTTTTATTAAAGCAGTGCTGTATTTGTTTTTGTTCAAATATGAGGTTTCCTGGTTCTGGGGCATTTTTGTTAACTTTTAACATTTTTACTAAAGTGTAACATCTCAAAAAGCAATTTCAAGCAGTGTCCTAAGACCGATCTGAGTCTAAGCATATTCAGGTTTGGGGGCTGAAGATTCCCCTGTCTTATCATCTGCCATGTTGTTTGCCTTGGAAACATTTGATTCTAATTAAGAGGACTATTACCTTTATCATTACAAAAATATAGGGAACAAATGCTGGCAGATTTAATGTCTTTTGCATGTACAATTCAATTGAACCAATACATCAGTCATGTTATAAGACTATCACAATTTTGTCGCCATAAGTTGTATTGACATGGGGGGCTGGATCAAATTTATACTATAAGTATATCACTTACTACAGCATTAACTAAACCTGCAATGCCACATTATTGGTGCCTGAGCCTTGAAATCATCAGCACCCTCATCCCGTCTCCTATGCCCTTTTTGTAGAAGTGTCTTTCAGAGTGTCATAAGTGTTCACCGAGGGAGAAGAGCAATGAAGGAGCAGACGAAGGGGAGAGTATTTGGGGGGTTGATTAGTAGTTTAAGCTGTTGCATATGAAATTGATGATTTAATTTACAATAAAAATTGTTACATAAAAACAACAGAAGTCAGTGTTCAGTGGTTCAGTGGGTGAGTGGACTCAGGTAACACTCTAGTTGTTCTATCTGCCACTGTCAGACACCCAGGCACTTCAAAGTCACCAGGGAACCTGATCTTTGACGACCTTTCTGTCCTGCAGTGCTGGAATGCTTATGGTGTCAGCATACGGAATGGCTGAATGGAAACAGTCCAAATGTAGACTGCCCAGACTGATCTAGGAGACCGCCTAAACCCCCAGGGAAGACTGAATTTTGACTTGTTTAGACATTTATTTAAGGCCATTTTATCAATGAAGTTATGGTTTCCATAAAGGATTGTAGACTGAGATGCCCACAGGTATAGGAAGTCAACTTAGACAACTAAACACGAACTGGGAGTAATGAAGCTCTGTGAATGTGCCCTTTCTCCCCTCCCCCATGTATTGTAGCACGCGCGCGCATGCACACACACACACACACACACCCTACTCTATCCAGATCTCATAGGACTGAATAGAACTAACCCATAGGGATTCCAAGACTGTAACTCTTTACCCAAGCAAACTCACATTTTTGTCCCGTAGGGCAGCTGGTTGATTGGAACTGCTGACCTTTCTGTTACTAGCTGTATATTTCAACCACTGTGCCAACAGAAGTCCTTACTCACTGACCTACAGTGGCTTGGAATCTCAAGTTTACCTGAGCAATGAGTGGGGTGGTTTAGATTTACCATTATCTTCATATATGAAGGAATTTCAGAGTTCACACCAGTTTGGCTTAAAAACTGCAGGTCTGTTTTCTCATTCACACATAAAATAAAGCTAAGGGAGATGGATTTTTTTTTTTAAAGATCTAGAACAGTGGTTCTCAACCTTCCTAATGCCGCAACCCTTTCATACAGTTCCTCATGTTGTGGTGACCCCCAACCATAAAATTATTTTTGTTACTACTTCAGAACTGTAATTTTGCTACTGTTATGAATCAGGCGACCACTGTGAAAGGGTCATTCGACCCCCTAAAGGGGTCGCAACCCGCAGGTTGAGAACCGCCAATCTGGAATAAGCTAATACAGGCAATTCGATCCAGTGGTAAATAATGGGAAATCTGGAATAAGACCTGGGTTTGAATGCAAGTCCGTCAACTCCATCACTTGAGCTGGTCACCTCACCTCTCTGGCCTGAGTCTTGCGTTTGAGAAGTGGCCCTGGCATTGCCCTGGAGTCCATCCCAACTGCCGGCAGCTCTGTGGAACAGCCGAACGTGCCCTCAGGTTCCAATGCTATCACCATATGGAAGCTGAGTGCTGCAGTTTTTCCTGGGGAGTGAGTGGTGGGTTTGAACTGCCATCATCTTGGTTAATAGCTGAGTGGATTTTTTTGTCCCACTGCACCCCCGGGGTTCCTTGGGATCATAATAGCACATATATGTTGAGTTGCTTGGAGGATAAATGAATAACAGGTAAAAAGATGAAACGATGAGCAAACAGAGTAAGCATTCAATTATTGTTAATAATTATTCATCCTAAAAAAGATGAAGACCAACAGCAACACAAAAGCAAGTCCACTGTGGTGGATTGATTTTAATGCCTCTTGACCCGATAGGATACAGCACAAGTGCTCCACGGGGCTTCTAAGGCTGCTGTACATCTTTATCAAAGTGCGTGGCCTCATTTTCTCCCTTGAAACAATCGGTGCATTCAAACCACCAGCCTTTGGGTTAACAGCCCAGTGCTTAACCTGCTGTGCCACCAGGCCTCCTAATGCTTGGCAGGGCTGGCCTTATTTTTGAATTCGTCCTCTGTGAGTGTTCTTCAAGTATCATATCACCTCGTATAAAAATGAAATGGCTAAGAATGGACAAGGAAGTCATCCTGCAGCTAAGAAATCTTGGTGTAGAGTTTTTGTTTCTCTGATATTAGCCCTATGGAGGTATGTCGTTGTACTGCTAACTGAAAGAAAGGCCAGTGGTTCAAACGCAGCAGCTGCACTGCAGGAGAAAGAAAGATGAGGCTGTCAGCTCCCATAATGATTCCCTATATAGTGTTGTCATGAGTCAGAATCTGTTCCATGGCAATGGGCAGCTGTCTGTCTGTCTAGCCATCCATCCTCCAAAGAGGGTACCTATATAGTTCACATGGTTAAGGCTTGCCCGCTTTGAGTGCACTAGAAGCCTGGCAATCTGCTTCTGAAGAAACCCACTACTGAGAACCTTCTGATGCGCATTTGTACTCTCAGGCACATGGTGCCCCAATAAGTCAGAATCCACTCGAGGACAGCAGTGGTTTTTCAACCCCCCCCCCAAGGAGCTGGCCCCCACCACCCTACCTGCTTTCCCAAGAAGAGAAGTGGCAGATATTGAATCTCGAAACACATTTAATGCCAAATGTTCGTTGTGTGCGCAGTCTTTCAGACCTCTCTCATTCATCAGTGTCCCTCAGCCAGCAGCTGTGAATCACAGGGGGCGCGTTGAGTGCCTCCCCTCACAGTGCGCTGTGAGCTTGCCTGCTGCTTTAATGAGACTGTGCTGCGTGCTGCGTGTTTCTCGCTCCACAGCCACTGCAGTCGCTGTCCCTGGCAGACTCGAAACTCAAGACCGAGGTCACCATCATAATCAACGCCCTGGGAAGCAACACCTCCCTCACCAAAGTGGACATCAGTGGAAACGGGATGGGGGACATGGGGGCCAAGATGCTGGCTAAAGCGTTGCAGATCAACACCAAGCTCAGGTACGCAGGGTGGGCCCTGGTGGCTTCTCTCTGGGAAAGCTTTGGTGAATATTCTACCGAGGTCCAAGGACTGGGTCTTGCAGCAGGGTGGGGCTACGAGAGGGTTGCCTAGGAAACCAGCACCGCCATCGAGTCCAGTCCAAGTCATCTTGACCCTTTGCACTAAGTAGAACTGTGCCTGTAGGGTTCTAAGGCTCTAAATCTTTATGGGAATAGACAGCCTCATTGTTCGTCCATGGAGCAGCTGGTAGGTTCGAACTGTTGACTCTGTGGTTAGCCGGTTATGCTACCAGGGTTCCTAAACTAGGCAAAAGAAGAAGCAATTTCTGTCTTCTCTTTCAAAATCTTGGAGAGGGTGTTCTTAAATGTAAGCAGTGTGATCACTTCAGACTGCCACTGAAATACGTCTTTTGTGAGGTAAAACCCGCTTTCTGAGCTGTGGTTGTTTCCCCTTCATAGCACTGCAGGCTGCTGACGTGTGTGGGTGACCAGTAGGCTAAGCCAGAAAATGTGCAGTACTAACAGGAGCGGTCTTCATGTACTTGTTGTGGATTGAATTGTGCCTCCCCCTTTCCCTTCCAAAATATGTGTCATAAATTCTAACCTTTATGTCTGTCGCTACAATCCCATTTGGGAATGGGCTGCCTTTGCTATGTTAAGAAGACATAATTAGTATAGAATATGTCTGGAGTTGTGTTAGGTGGGTTGACCAGAGAAACAAATCAAGCAAAACTCATGTGTAAGAGAGAGAGCTTTATACTAAGAAGTAATTACATATCAAGCAAACATCCCAGCTCACTCCAGATCCAGTCCATAAGCCCAGTGCTAATTCATAAGTCCGAAACTAGTCCATAAGTCCCTCTTCAGACTCACACAACCACATGCAATGATGGAGAATGCACGAACATCACTGGCCGGTGGGTGCGAGGTCGTGTGGATCCAGTGGCGCTGGAAGTATCACAGGGCTCTCACAGGTCTCAGCCTGGCTCGGGAAGCAGGAAGGTGAAGGCAGGGAGAGAAGGGAAGTTCCTAGGATCCTCCTTATGAGAAGGCCACGCCCATCGGAGGTACCATCAGTCTGTGACCTGATTGACCGTTGGACTCCACCCGTACACTTTTATATTTTCAATGTGACACAAAAATGTTATTACCACAGGTGACAACTCCTTTGAGACTTAAAAGGATATTAAACAAGGGAAAGACACAGAGGGGGAAGTAGAGATCTGTCAAGGCCTGGGAAGGCTGACCAAGAGCAGAAGCCCAGATGAGAAAAGGACCTTCCGCCAGAGCCCACGGAGAGAGAAAGCTTCCCCTGGAGCCAGAGCCCTGAATTCGGTCTTCTTGCCCCTCCACTGTGAGAATACACCCACCTGGAACATTTCTAGGATAGCAGCACTAGTTAAGGAAGAGCCCAAGGCCACATCTTCTGCTCGTCACCTTTGCTAGTATAAAGGCTTAAAACCCAAAAGGGGACAAGAGGCCTCGGGTTCAAAGGCAAGCTCTTCCTGTCCAGCAGCCTGGTGATTGAAGAGTTAGTTCACGTTGTTCCCCTTGGACTCTTTCCTGAGATTTCTCCTCCTTTCTAGTCTGAACCTTCTGTCTAAACCTGAAGCCCAAAACGTCCGTGGTCTCTCTCAGTCAGCACGTACATGAAGAAGCTTGCGGCGGAGTAGGAAGGGAAAGGAAAAACCATTGAGGTGGTGAGCCTGCCCATCACCCGCCACAAATAAAAGCCCTCTCATGTGTCAGGGGGAGTTGACATGCCCTACAATATCTCTGAGGTGTGTACATGCCGGAGACGAACTAAAACTTGACTTCAAAATAGATTCTGTGCTTAATAAGCAAGCTCCTATGAATAGTACCGGATGGTTTGTCAGTCCAGCGGGTGGGCGGGTGGGCAGGGTGCTACCTGGTCCTGAGGGCTGCTAATCACACCCCGTGAAGGTGATGATGGAGAGGCAAGCAAGGATGACAGGACCCCTTGTCACTGTTTATAATGGAGAAAATCATAGAC